GGGAACAGGGTCCTGCAGGCACCTTGTTTCAGCCCAGTGATACCGACGCTGGACTTCAGGCCTCTGGACCCACAAAAGAAAAAAATGTCTGCTGTTTTACTCCACCATAATTGTGGTCATTGTGATGCCGGCAATAAAAAACTAATATATCATCCTTTACCACAACCTAATTTTTAAAAATATTTTATTTATTTATTTTTAGAGAGGAAAGGGAGGGAGAGAAACATCAATGCGCAGTTGTTGGGGGCCGTGTCCTGTAACCCAGGCATGTGCCCTGACTGGGAATCGAACCTGTGATGCTTTGGTTCCCAGCCCGCACTCAATCCACTGAGCTACGCCAACCAGGGCTGCAACCTAATTTTTTAAAGGGGCAACCTTCCAACTGACAAGCTGGGCAGATTTGGACGTCTCAGTACATCTTCAGAGGAAACAGATGGTTAAGAAAACTGCAGCTGATTAAAATTTTCTGCTTCCAAAAATGGAGAGGCTTGGGCTTGTAAACCTGTATAGGTCTCCCTCCCCCAACTTATGAAAGGGCTGTGTCTGTTTGGTTCAGGAAATGCGAACAAACTAGGTTTTGTAGTATTACCAATGCCACTGAATCAGAACCTGGGTTCTGAGGGGAGACTGGCCGTACCAAAGAACAGCCCGAGCAATGGGCCCGAAGCTCTGCCCAAGAATACGCAGGTTCTTAGACAGGGTCTCTGTACTAAGGAGCCCGCAAGCTAGTGCAGAGGCTGGCTAGCAAGCAGCCAGCCACAGATGAATGGCAGAACCACGGAAGCACAGAGGCAGGAAGCCTTGGGCTGGCGCTGGGAGGAGCCGTCTGATCTGCCCGAAGACTGAGTAGGCAAAGGGCATCCTAGTTTGTGCCACTCCTTGCCGTGCGTGGCTGAAGCTGGTGAAGGGGAGGAGCAGAGAGAAGCGGTCTCACCTGCTCAACAGAGGCCATCCCAGCAGACACGAGATTTGCATCTAGAAAGATAATCTGACTGCAAACAGACTGACTGAGAAGGGAAGGAGCAAAACCAAAGCAGGCACTTGGTTGGGGAGCTACAGTGATTAGCCAGAGACCAGGAGCAGGTGAGGGCAGATTTAAGGGGCCATATAAAAAAATAGATGGATAGAACTTAGTGACAGCTGGATGCAGACTTTGAGAGAGGTCCTCCGAATAACCATCAAGCTTCTGGCTTGGGTAATGGGACGGACAGCAGCCCCATTCAGTGGGAAGGAAGAGCAGGTCAAAGGAGGCGAGCAGACAGGAAGTGTAGCCATGAGTCAGCTGGGTGAGCAGTGTGGGTTATCCAGATGGACTGTCCAACAAGAAGCTGGCTATATAAATGCTGTGAACTGCGTATGAATAAAAGTATACACACGGCGCTAGCGAACCTCTGGGATGCATCCTGAGTATGCATGAGTATGCATAATGAGTATGGATAATACTCAATAAAAATATGTAGCGCTCCTACCATAGGCCAGGCGGCGTGCTGGGTTCTGGACTAGCCGAGGGGGATGAGAGGGTCCTGGCAGGCTGGGGGAACCAAACAGTGACTTTGAGTGTCTGCCTCGTCTTCTTCCTGTACGACAACCCTACTCACACCCAGAGTCCGGACATTTAGATAAGGACCTAACTTTAGGATTCCACCCCACAAGTTCCCACTCTTATTTTCTCGGGACTCCTTTTAAATGAAAACACCACTTAGAGTTGAGCCCATGAAAAGTCAGTGACCTCCACCCCTACCACCTTTTAAGTAATGGGTACTTCCACCCAGCTATCTCCATAGGGCAACAGAGAGCCAATCGAAAACTTAAGCTAGGGAATGGCATACGTTTTACTATCTTTTTAAAAATTATTGACTGCAGTATGAGGGTGGATTGAAAGGGAAAGACCTGGAGATAGGGGGAGTTACTAGTCACAAAGTTGTCGGAGTGGAAAGTGGCTACGTTATCGAGAAACACTCAGGAGGTTGGTGGACAGAACTCGGCGATGGGCGAACACTGGAGAAAAAGAGGGATGGAGATGGTCCCCAAGGCCCCTAGCTCAGGCAGCTGGGCTACCGCCCCAGGGATGGCTGAGACTGTATCACGTGATGAAAGGGCCAAGGCAGAACCTTGGGAAACCCCAAGTGTGAGGCTGGACTCAGGCAGAGGAAGCCAACACGGGAACCAGAGAACCAGGGTCAGGTAAGAGGGAGAAAATCCAGGGGAATGAGGCATCACTACACTGGCAGATTTGAAAAAAGAATTGGTACAGAGTCACAAATCAAAGAGGCCAACTGAAAGTGAAAGGTTTCTGCTGAATCTAGCAGTCAAGTCCCTTTGAGCGGAAATGGTAAGGGCGAAAGCCTGATCACATGGCTTGAAGTGGAGACACCCACGTGTATCTTCCTGAGGCAGCCAGAAAGCAATACAGGTGGAGTCCGGCTCTCACTACATGGCTTGGTATTGACCTTCTCAACTGTAACATGGGGATAATCACAGGCACCCACCCAGCCTAAACACAGGGGACCCCCAAACCCAAAGTTCTTTGAAAGACAACCACTGCTGCATTCTGCTTTCTTTTTTAAGTCAAAGCCACGTTTTGCTATACCACCTTTCATTTCAAAATAGGCACTTTTGAAAGTGGTGGGGGGAAAATTGGGGTGCAAGCTTCATCCTTTGAGACAAGGATAGTCTTCAAATTAGTGAAACTATAACAACTGATAACACAGCTAGTAATTTTGAGACAAGTTGCTAAAACCTGATCCATTATCTCCTACACCTACTTCTCCAACATGTCATAAAGTACTTTTTCTAGGGTCATGTGCATGAATTCAACTTTAAAAATGTAAACAACTTATTTGAAAATTAAAACATTTGAAAAACATTAGGCAACATGATGTTCTATTTAGCTTATCTAACAGAATCTCCCTTTCGTGTTTACAGTCTGGCATTTGTTACACTAATTTTCTGGCTTAGATTGAAAGAGAGGTGAGTTTTCTGATTAGTGGACTTGTAATATTCATGCAGAAAAACGAAGAGACATCGAGTTAGAATTGATACATATATGAGAGAAAGTTAACTGCTGCGTGCGTGGCCGCTCAGTGCTTCAGCTGGGTGCCTCCTAAAAGGGTAGGTTTTGTCCGTGAACACGCAGTTGACAAGCATTTCCCCTAAGGCTTAATGGAGTAGTCACCCTACTCTGTTCACGCAGAGTGAACCGGGAGACCCTGTTTACTCCAGTTCACTATCAAGCGGTCATCCGCGATCAGGTCTTTTCAGTAGGAGACAATGTTAGCGCTCAAGGTCAGCAAATCCGTCTCCGGTGCACCTTCCACGCGCGCTGTGAAGCTTCCATGTTTCTGGGCGACCCAACGCAGAGCTACCACGAGCCAAGCATCACCGGCACGGGTGCCCACGGCCGTCGGTGACGCCACACCCCACTCCGCAACCCCGGGTCGCCAGCTCGGCTCCGGCGGACGCGCTTCCGCTCGGGAAACCGACCTCCGAGGGGCGTGTGGGTGAGCTGCCGCACACGCCGGGCCGGGGGCGGGGCGAACGACCAAGACGAGCCCGCGCGGGGCACGCATCTCCCGCCGCTGCCTCCCTTCACGGCCGCCCGGAGTCCGCCTCTCGGAGCGGAAAGAAGGCAGGCAGGCGCGGGGGAGAACCGCGTGGGCGCAGTACCGGCAGAAGCCCGGCGCGGCGCGACGCAGACTGCGGCGCCGGCGGCGTCCCGATCGGTCCCGCCCTCGCCCCGCCCCCGGCGCCGCGCACCTCCCTCGCTCCGCCCCCGGCGCCTGGCGACCAATCACAGCACCGCGCACGTGACGAGCGCTGCCTGCGATGACCTCATCCCTGGTGTGGGATGACGTCAAATTCAAGATGGATGGAATCACAGCGGCAGCGGCGGCTGCGGCGCGCGCGAGCCGAGTGTGAGCGGAAAGGGACCTGGCGTCTGCCTCCGGGCTGAAGACCGGTGAGTAACTGTCACGGCCCTCGCCCTAGGAGAACTGCGGGGCTCTGTGGGAGGCCCCAGCCTCCCCGCAAAACGCGGCCTTTCCTGACGTAACTCTGAGGTGATTTCTCTCCTCTTTTTTCTACCAGTGGGTTGCGGGTTCCGAGTGCTTCTGCGCGTGCGCCGGCTCCCGTCTCTCACCGAGCATGCCCCGGGCTCCCACGTAGCCCATTGTGCCTTCACATTGCGCATGCTCCTTTCCCGCACTTGGCCTCGCCCTCGCCACTGCGCACGCTCCGTCCCTCACTGGGCTTCCCTCGTTCGGCCAGGTGGCCCTGGGGGCGGGCGCGCCCGGCCTCGGCGAGAGCTGTGGCGCGGAACGGTTGGGACGCCTTCCGGTCAAGGGCGCGTGCTCCCGTCCCGCGCAGTCGCGGATGCTGGTCACTGGCCGGTGTCCGCCGAGGGCTACGCGAGCGTGCGCGGAACCCGGAGGGACAGCGGGACGCCGCACCTGCCGCGGCCGGCGCCCCTTCCCGTCGTCCCCTCGGGCCCCGCCTGGCGGCTGCCGGGATAACCGGCCAGTAACCCAAGTTAACCCCGTTTTCCGCGCTCTGCCCCCTGGCCGGCCCTCGGCCGGACGCCTGGACCCCGGAGCGCACTCCTTTCTCCGGGCCGTTTGGAAGACCTGTTTTCTCGGTTCTCTCCACTGCCCGCCGCGGAGCACAGCCCCCTCCGCTGGCCACAAGCGTTTCTGCTCGGCTTTAATGGTTTCCCACTTGAGAAAGCCCCGGTCCGAACTCTGCGGCCGGAGGCGGTGGGGAAGGGGGGTTTCAGACCCGCGGCGCTGGAGACCCCAGCCCAGAGACTTGCGCCGGTCTGAGTCCCCGTGATCTTGTATTGGGTTCTGTCCTAGCGCAGACCACCTACCCGGAACAAGTTCAGTAGCTGACTACAAGAGATCGTACCTTTGGCCGTAGGGGAGCCCCACGGTCCTAGCTCTTAACCCCGGTTACTGCGCCCTCCAGCCACAGGGCTGCGTGGTTCAGGAGAGTACTTCTGCAGCGGCGTGTTTGGAGGTGGGGTGTTTTTAGGGGGGGTGCAGCGGAATTGCCCGACAGCGGAGACGGGGGGAACGTTCATCCAGCTCCGCACAGTGTAGCAGCTTGGGGGTTTTAGTGCAAGGGCCGACAGCTCTGTCGCATCCAGCATCCGAAGCCATAGTGTGTTACAGTATATAGCCCAGGGGTCGTTCCTCATGAAGGCCCTGAGTCGTCAGTAAGGAGCCTGCATTGTGTTCTGTGTACCTTGTTTAAAACAAGAAAATAGGTTAATCAATTTTAGAAAGATTTCTTGTTGATTATTTTTAAAACTTTCTCCCTCCGATGCTTGGAGTCAATTCCTCGTTCATCTTTAATGACTAACAGTCTTTACATTTAAATTTAAGTATCCCTAAGTATTGCTGTTAAAAAGAAAGGAGAAATTTGGGGCATTGGTTTACTTGAAAAGGTTATAACCCTTGCCCTCGAGAAATTTATAGTGTTTATAGCAGGGGGCATTAGGTGTGTAACAAAAGAGTCAAGTTACTGAGGGAGTTTCTGGGAGAAGAGATCTTTGAAGGGACCGTTTTATATGTCCCCAAAGCGAATGGGGATGGGAGAGCAGATTCTTGAGCCATCCTTGAGCAAGGCCTGACAGGTGGTAGTGGCACGCTAGAAGGAAGAAGAAGAGGTTTCAGGTTTGCAAGACCTGGTGGCTGGTAGCACACCAAACCGAACAGGGACCATGTGAGGACAAGCAGATATGGGGGTCGGCACTAGGGGGTGTGGGTCATACCTACCGTCCTGGACACGTGGCATACCCTGTGATGGGCGTCTTCCTTGGGCACCTGAGAGGCTGGATGGAGTTCCAAGGAGAAGTCCAAGCAGAGACACAGATTTCAAAGTGATTACCCAGTGGTAAATTAACGCCACAAGAACTTACGCACAAAGCAGAGAAAGCTGCCACGTGCTGAGCTCTGTAGCAGATGGCTGGAGCAATGAAGGTGAGCGAGTCCAGGTCTCGAGCCTTGAGCGTGGTGACTTCTCTCTTTGCCCAGGAGATAACCTGCCAGGCCTTGTGCTAAGCATTAGGGATACACAGGTGGAAACAAGGGTTCTCCCTTTCAGGGACTCTCCTGAAGGAGATATGAAAGCATATCGCTCAGAAATAGTTACGTTATTGCAAAGAGATGAAAGATGGTAGTTCACATGACTGAACTACCAGCTAGGTACAAACTATTAAACTTTATGGGAACAGTGACATTTGAGCTGGATCTTTCTGTAGAAGGTGACCACGTAAAGGAAAAGGAAGACAACTATGTTTACCTGGTAGAAATCAGGGGTGCAAGTTTGTAGAGTGGGTAGTACGGTGTGTCCAGTAAGGGTGGAGAGAGGAATTGTGACCAGAGTCGGAAGAGTCTTGTGTGCCACTCCAGCATTTGGGTCTTATCTAGGAAGTGGTAGGAGAATCAGGGTAATATTCCAAAGCAGAGCAGTGCTGGGCCCGGCTTCATGTTAGGAAACAAAGGCATGGTTTCCACTCCTGCATTGAACTGGGGTGCCAGAGTACTGAAAAATCAATATGGATTGTTGTGCAAGATAATACGTTGAGCATTGTGAAGAGCGTCAAAAGATATTAAATAGATTCTCGGTCCTTAAATGGCTTACAGTTCTGTCGGTGAGACAGACGGCTAACAGTATGAGGCAGTGAATACACGCTGTGTAAATGGTGCCACTCTGTGTAATGCGGGAGTTGAAAGGTGCGTGCTTGTTATAGACCGAAGTAGTCAGGGAAGGGGTATTAGTTTTCTTAGGCTGCCATGAGGAAGGACCGCAGACTGGGTGGTGTAAACAACAGGAGTCTATTTTCTCACAGTTCGGGGGGCCTAGAAGTCCAAAATTAAGGTATCTGCAGGGTTGACTTTTCCTGAGGCTTCCCCTTGGCATGTAGATGGCTGTCTTCTCTGTCTTCACATGGCATGCCTCTGCGTTTGTGTCTCCTTATAAGTGTACCAGCCGGATGGAGTTGGGCCCAAAGACCTCATTTTAAATTAATTAGCCCTTTAAAGACGTTCTGAAGTACTGAGGGGTTAGGACTTCAGCATGTGAATGGGTGGCAAGTGGGGGGAGTCACTTGGGACTTGAGCTGAGCTTTGAAAGATGATTAACGTCAGGCTGAGGGGCGTGCTGGGGAGGGGTTAGGTGAGGTGTAGAACATCACAGATTAGGTGACGGAAGAAGCGAGAGGTGCGTGCGGGTTGTGTCTCAGAGACGAAGTTAACCTTCTGGATAACTAAGGGGAAGAAAATCTAAAAAATAGTTGGAAACCAAATGCACAGAGCCTTGGAGTACAGGTCTTTAAAAGTTTGCCTTTTGACCTAATGGAGAACCATTGTTTTTAGTGTTTTGTTTTTAGAGCCAGGGCTGGCTCATTTCACTTAGATCTTACCTCTCAGCTAAAATGTCACCTCGGCATTTCCTGACCATCCTCTCCAAACCCCTATTTTCTCCACGTAGTCACAGCACCCTGTTTATTTCCATTATAACACTGAGGACAGTCTGTATCATGGTTTTTGTTTCCTTGATAGTCATGATTTACTTCACTGAAACATGGGGCCTTGTCTATTTTGTGCACCCCTGTGTTTCAGGTATATCTTACCATGCCTCGAGTATGTAGTAGGAGCTCAAGTAAATTGCATTAATAATAGTAATGCGCAATGTGTACACCTGGAGAATGATTACAGCTTTGTTGTAGAAAGCTCAGTGGAGCAGCAATTTAGCAAGGATGGATCTGGAAGGTATGACAGAAAAATGAATACCACTTAGAAATATGTTAGAGACATTTAATAACAAGAACAGAAACTGACTGGTTAGGCTGAATAGAAAAAGGAATTTATTATAAAGATACAGTGTTGCTCATGAGGTTTAAGGAAATCTAAAGAATTGGACTGGGAAGGACAAAAACCATGGTAACCGCAGGAATCGGTGTAGCCAGGCACGGGTAGGCTGCACTTCCAGGCTGCTGCGGAGATAAATCAGCTCCACTCATTTACTGCCTTTGTCGCCTCTGCCGGGCCCATGTTCCAGAGGGAAAGTTTCCGATCAATCGGCTTGGCTTCGGTTGCATGCCTGCCCTGCACAAGGGAGAGCAGGCCTCAGGCTGTCCCTGGGAGTGTGTGCGTGCCTGCGTGCAGCTCTTCCAAAGCCAAACCAGGGCGCCGCCTGCAGCAGGAGGAGTGGTGGCTGCAGGCAGCCGGGCCCAGAGAGGCTCCACTGGGCCTGGACTCCGTTACAGTGGGGCCATTCAGCTGGAGGTGCAGAGAACACACCTGCAACCAAAATCAGACCTTCTCTAGAGACCAAAAATGTGGGGAGGTGGAATCCAAGGGAGTGCGTGACGTTACTCTCTTGAAGGATCAGATAAGCAAGGCTGGCTTTGAAATGTGAGGAGCTTCAGAAGTTTCTGGATGTCTCCATTGTCCCAGAGTGAGTGACGATAAGAACTAAACTCAGAGCCAGCTCCCTGTCACCATCTAATAGTAAAATCAAGTGGAGAGAATCGGGGCTAAACCCAGAGGTGAGGTTTTGGGGCGGAATGGCGTGTGTGTGTGCATGCGTGTGTGCGCGTGTTTATATTCCAGTCAGCTGTAGGTGCATGGCTTCTCGGACTGTGTGCTTCCCTTTTGTGACATGCACCCCTTCTTCTTCCCCACTGCCATTTCAGGACTGTATAAGCAGCCCCCAGCTTCCCCAAGGATCCCGTGCCCAGGGTTCAATTTTAGGTCGATGTTTCAACTGGAGAGAGACGGTTCCCCACAGAACTGGTGGGAAGGATTTGTGTGGTGGTCTGGAGCCAGTCTGATTGATAACGTACCTGAGCTCCAGTGCCACCTGAGTTTTAGTCTCTGGAACTTGAAGGTTAGCGAGGAGATTATTCCGGCTCCTTCCCATCTTCCTTTCTGAGCCCCTTTCTCATTTCCATGAGTCTTTTTACCCACGTGCTTTTCCATTTCCTGTTTCTATCCCCAGAATGTTGTGAATATCAAAATTGCCTGCCTTCCACCTACCCCCTTAAAATTTTTAACTTCTTGCCACTGATCTAAATTTGGTATAAAGAGAAAATCATTGGCATTGAATTAAATTATATTAAAATATGAATTCCCCGCTCCTCTTAGCATTTAGTATCTGAGGAATTTGAGGTGATGGTGTGAATTAATTTTCTGGGATCTAGTTGTGAAGGGCTTTGTAGCCATTCTAGGGAACTGGCCGCACAGGCCGTGGCTAGCCTTCTGGGAGTTTTGGAGTCCTGGTAGGACCAGATGAGTGAAGTATCTCTGGACAGGATCTGCAGTGGGAAGTGAAGAGTGGAACCTGTAGTGTTGTTGTAGTAGTCAAGTGAGCTGTGAGTCCCGGATCTTCCTGGTGTCCCTGCTGCTCACCCAGCTGTCCTCCCACCCCGGCCCAGTTAACTGCTTCCTGCGGTCAGTATTACCGTCCACTTTCTGTACCCGTCAGCACGCGTGTCTGTCCTGCCGCGGGGACGTGTGCTACTGTAGAACACAGAGCCAGCTCCCTCATCTGCCGTCACAGCGCCTCCTGTGACACAAGGCTTCTCACAGGCCCACGTGACCAACTAGGAAAGGGAGAGAATAAAACGCACCCTGGCTGTGTCAGAAATACTGTGTGGTGGGGACTTTCAGACGTGCTGCGTCTCGTGTTCATCGTGAGAGGCCTTTGTGAATGGGCAGTGTCAGCCCCGCTCATCAGGTTAAGGAGACCACTTGTACTTAGAAAGGTTGAGTGACCTTTGCAAGGTTACACGTCTAATAGGTGGCAAAGCCAGGAGTTGAGGCAAATGCACTGATTTGAAAGTCCCATGCAGCTGTGACTTCCGTGAATTGTTAATCATAAAGGTTCTCTTATTTTGAAATTTCAGGAAACAACATGAGATAGAAACAATTCAGGAAGAGCTGGGGAAGATACTTGTGTGCGGGGCTCCGAGTGGTAAGCAAGTCACAGCCCTGTTTCAGAATCTGGTTTTCCTGGGGATTTCCTCCCAGCCTTTTCTGCCACTCACAAAGGGCCTTTTCTTCACAATTCACCCACTTTTCTTTTAAGAGTGCTGAGGTTTTTCCACCGTGACTAAAAGTGGTAGCAGGAACACCTGCACTGATGAGTCAGGTGGAGATGAGCAAAGGAAAAGGTACAGGACTTGGATGCAGGTGGCAAGGTGTGTACATGAGAGCTTTCACACTTATGGTGCACTGTCTTCTGTGAGGCTGATTATTCATAATTAAAACATGCATAAGAAATTGGACTTTGATGAGCCAGCAGGTCTGTGGTGGAGAAAGTATACCCAGTAGCAAAGCTGGCCTCATCTGGGGGCCAAAGAGCAGAAAGGGCAACAGATTTTGAGAAATCAGATTGCATGCACATCCACCAGCCACAAAGAGTTTTGCTGGATTATCTCATTACATTAGCAGGTGTGGTTTTCCCCCCTTTTTGCCCGCATTCTTGATGTAGCATTTTATGTTTTTAGTTGTGAAACTCCATCAGTATACCTACTGTCATAACATACAAAAGTTCAAAATGTTATCTGTCTGCAGCCCCACCAGGAAAGGGGCCATTGTTTTTAAGTCTTAGTAATTGAACTGAAAGGTAAAAGCAAGGACCTCAACCTGAAGGTGAGGGGCCTGCGCTGCCCTGTGCTCTCCATCTGGTCGCTCCGGATATCTAGAGCCCCCGTCCTGGGCTACTGGGGAGGCAGGAGAGGTCGTGGTCCTCTAACAGCCCTGAGTGGAGCCCCAGGGCCCTCGGGCCTCTGTCCCCTCTCCAGCCTCCTTGCCTGCCTTCCCCTACATGTATCCTTTGCTCCAGCCCAATCCTCTGCCTTGTCTGTGTGATTTTGGGCATACTGCCCCAATTTTGAAATGCCTTTCACTCTTCCTTCCCGACTCTTCCCACGGCCTTAACTCCTGCTTGTTCATGAGGCCTCATCTTGAATGCCTTCCCTGGCCTCCCTCTCACGTGGATCAGTGCCCATCACCTGTGCTCCCTCTCTGCTCTGTACACACCCGTCTGGTGCTTCACATATTGGAGCACGACGATGGATTGCCCTGTTCCCAGGCAAGACTTCAGGCACCGTGAGGCAGGATCGTGCTTGTCAGGTTGACATCCTCCACAGTTAGCAGGTTCTGGCACATACTAGACAGGTGTCCTACTACGAGAAGCATGTAACTTGATGACTAACACTCCAGGCTCTGGGGCCAGACTCCAGCCCACTGCTCACTGACTGGGTGGCCCGGGGCACACTACTCCTCTTCTCAGTGCTTCCGTCCCCTAATTTGTAAAACAGGGATGGGGACAGCAGCCAGCTCCAGTGTTTGTGTGAGCACTGACTGAGGAAACCAGAGGCGGTGGTGTAGGGTTAAGAGCGTGGCCTCTGACGCCAGTCCCTCTGTGTGAGTCCTGCTCTGCTGCTTAGTCCCGGTGACCTTGAACACGTTGATTATTCATCTGTGTTTTGTTTTCTCATCTGTAAAATGGGGGTAATAATAGTACCTACAGCCTAGGGTTGCTGTTAATGTTGAGTTAATGAATGAAAGTGTTTACAGTAGTGTGTGGCAGTAAATGTTCAATTAGTGCTTGAGTGACTAGATTGGAAATAGTCTCTCACTTCAGAATCTCTCAGTTCTTTCACTGTGTGACTCTCTCTTCAAAGTTCTTTCCAACTTTCCCTTACGGTTCTTGTTTATCAGGCATATTATGAATTTGGGCGTGTTTAGCCACTTCTCGGGCAAGCAGTCTCATTGATACTCTAAATGCAGTATCAGATAAATACTTTTAATCCCTAAGTAATTTTCAGGGACAGTGACTGTTTCTCTTACAGTTTAGTTCTGAGTGACTTAAGGTTCTCTAATTCCCATGTGTTCTTGTTCAAAGATTATAGGTGCCTGTGGTTCAAGGGGTGGGAAGTGCCTGCTTAGAGCAAAAGCGGGGACGATAATGTGAAGAAAGCAAAGGAAGGAAACTTTCTGAACCAAGTTTTCTGAAAAAAGAAATGTCGACTTTCAGCATATAGGGATAGGGTACAGATGGTATGTGGAATACCATTGGCTTCACGTTCAAGGACGGACGTCACGTTCTTGGTTTAGTCTTCACGCAGTTCCTCAGCCTGTACTTACAGTGTCAGATTCCCTTGGTGTCTTATTGTGGGTTCCCCAAAAGCAGACCCTGAGACATGGGTGGAGTTGATCTAGACCCTTTTTTGATACTGAATTAAATGCCTATTAACCCTACAAATGAACTGCACAGCGTTTGTAAAGTCCTTACTGCACAGGACGCTGTGTCACCTAAACCGTGAAGCAGCCTTGAAGGAGGGCGCAGTTCCTGCCGTTTGACGGGGGGGGCCCGATACTCAGAGAGGCTGGTCATCAGCAAGGGAGGAGCCAGCACTCCAGCCCCAGTGTCTTGGGCAGAGCCTGCACCCCGCCACTAGGTTGTGTCTTACCTTTAGATTTGAAGAGACTTTCGGTGGAATCCCAACTCAAACTCTTTAATTTAGAATTAGCAATTTTAGTTTAGACCCAAGCGAGAGTTTTCCTTTGTGCTATTGTTGAACATGTGATTTGGTAAGAATAAAATATTCAGAAGATTGCAAGATGTTTAGCATAAAAAAAAACTCTTACTCTTTAACATTTCTAACCTTTGTAATATAGTAATTAGGATACAGTGGTATTTAGCAAATGGTTTTCACTTTCAAAATTCATACCTATTTTCAGTTTTTATTTTTATTTTATTTTTTCAATCCTCACTCTATATGTTTTTTATTGATTTTAGAGGCAGGGGCCAGGGAGAGAGAGAAAAAAACATTGATGTGAAAGAAACTTCGACAGGTTGCCTCCACCACATGCCCTTACTGGGAATCAAACCCGCAACTTTCTGGTGTATGGGATGATGTTCTAATCAAGCGAGCCAACTGGCCAGGGCCCAAATTTGTGCCTTTTTAAAAATTTTTCTGCGAACCAAAGTGTCGCAGGTTCGATTCCCAGTCAGGGTACATGCCTGGGTTGCAGGCCATGACCCCCAGCAACTGCACATTGATGTTTCTCTCTCTCTCTATCTCCCTTCCTTCCCTCTCTAAAAAATAAATAAATAAATAAAATCTTTAAAAAAAAAAATTTAGGCCTGGCTGGTGTGGCTCAGTGGATTGAGTGCCAGCCTGTAAACCAAAGGGTCACAGTTTGGATTCCCAGTCAGGGCACATGCCTGGGTTGCAAGCCGAGTCCCCAGTCAGGGGCACATGAGAGGCAACCACACATGGATGTTTCTCTCCCTCTCTCTCCCTCCCTTCCCCTCTGTCTAAAAGTAAATAAATAAAATCTTTTTTAAAAAATTAGTTTATTATTTAGAGAGAGAAGAAGGGAGGGAGAGAAAGAGGGAGAGAAACATCATTCAGTTGCCTCTTGCACACCCCCAACTGAGGACCTGGCCTGAAACACAGGCATGTGCCCTGACCTGGACTCAAACTAGTGACCTTTATGTTTGCAGGCCAGCACGCAACCCACTGAGTCATGCCAGCCAGGGCCGTACCTATTTTTACAGGCCTGGTAAGATCTCTACTTTGCAGCCCACTGTGTACCATTCACATTGCAAGTAAATATACTCAATTGTGGGGGAGGAAGAAACTTTCCTCTACCCTTCGAGGCTCTTTAGGGTGATCTAATAATTAAATCTACATAAGACAGATTAACAAGAGAAAATAGTGAAATTTAATTACATATATATGTCTGGAAACCCCGAATACATGAGAGGTTCAGAGATGGGAAATGAGGTACATGTGACATGCTGAATTTCAGATGAGGTGAGGCATCTTGGGGGCTTCAGAGCAGAGGACAGCCATTGTAGGACAATAAAAGCAGATGTTCAGTAGTTAGTAGTCCGTCCTGCCATCTAGGTAGGTCCAAAAGGTTATCTGATAATCTTATTATGGACAAGGTCCCTAATTCAGTTCCTCTGGGTTGTCTGAGGGCCAGGTTTCTCTCGAGCCCACAGGGTCTCCGTTGCCTTTAGCTCAAAATAATCCTCATCCCACAGAGACATGTCTTGGGCAGCTCGTTGGGAATCCCTACACAGTAATAAAGTAGATTTCCTCTCAGAATTACAGACTTAAGGCAACTCAGGACTTATTTATACTTATTCCCTAAACTAATAATAACAAGAATAGAACCAAACAACAGATAGGCAAAGACCTAAATAATAAACCCTCATTTTCAAACATTGCTTCCTTACATACCTGCTCAGTTCTAGCAGCCTTTTTGATGGCATGAAAATGCCTGTGTCATAGTCTTTAGTTCCTAAAAATGCCTAAATTTTAACGCTTACTGATCTACTTACACCGTGAGACTTGTTTCCTCATCTTTTTTGTTATTTAAATAAGATTATTCATCCAGAAAGCTTTTGTGTGCCTATAACCTGCTAAATATTGGCACCTCTGAAAAGACCTCGAATAGCCCTGCCCCTGAGGAGCATTTTGCCTGGTGGAGACTGTTTACTGCATCGTTCATAATAATTTCATACTTTGTCTTTCAGATAACCCAAGCAATGGAGGGATTACAGCATTACATCAACCCAGCACACGCCATTTCTCTCCTGAGCGCTCTCAACGAGGAGCGCCTCAAAGGGCAGTTGTGCGACGTGCTTCTGATTGTTGGAGACCAGAAATTCCGAGCTCATAAAAATGTCTTGGCTGCTAGCAGTGAATACTTTCATAGTTTATTCACAAATAAGGAGAATGAGTCACAAACGGTATTCCAGCTTGACTTCTGTGAACCGGATGCTTTTGATAACGTTTTGAACTACATTTACTCCTCGTCTTTGTTTGTCGAGAAAGGCAGCCTTGCTGCTGTGCAGGAACTAGGCTACAGCCTCGGCATCTCCTTTCTGACTAACATCGTTTCTAAAACACCTCAAGCCCCCTTTCCAATGTGTCCCAACAGGAAAAAAGTATTCATGGAGCACGATGAAAACAGTTCTCAAAAGAGAAGCGTCATTGTCTGTCAAAGCAGGAACGAAGCACAAGGAAAAGCTGTCAGTCAGAGTCCGCCTGATCTAAGCCATACCTCTCGGCCTCCCCCAGGCACTGCAGTCAAGGCCAACACCAGTAAGCCCCATGTTCCCAAGCCCATCGAACCCCTTCACAACTTGTCACTGACTGAGAAGAGTTGGCCAAAAGACGGCTCAGTGGGATATGCAAAGCCTCTCGAACGTTCCGGATCTCTGGACGACACCAACAGAAGCAGTCTGGTGAAAAGGAACGCAGTCCTGCCTTCCACGCCGCTACAAGACAGGCAGGCAGTGGACGATAAACCGGGTGGGAGCGGTCAGCTTCCCAAAGGAAAGGCTATAGAGCTGGCTCTGAAAAGGCCACGGCCGCCTGTTTTGTCTCTCCGAAGCTCGTCGGAGACTCCTTATCTGTTGAAAGAAACTAACAGAGGAAGTGGCCCAGGCGAGGACAGAAACTTGTTGTACTATTCAAAGCTAGGCTTGGTGATCCCGTCCAGTGGGTCTGCTCCTGCAAACCAGAGCATCGACAGGAGCGGCCCGCTCGTTAAGAGCCTCCTGCGACGGTCACTGTCGATGGATAGCCAGGTTCCTGTCTACTCGCCCTCCATAGATTTGAAGCCTCCCCAGGGCTCGTCCGCGGCACCCAGCGACGCACCCGGGAGTGTCTTCTGTGCTGTGTCTCAAAAATCATCTTTAAAAGAGGGCGGTGAAAAACCAGCTCTGGACGACGGGGCTCCCCAGCCGCACCGTCTCAGGTCCTTCAGTGCTTCTCAGACCACGGAGAGGGAGGGCGCCCCCGCCGGCTCCGAGGTGCGAATCAAGACGGAGCCCTGCAGCCCACTGGCGGACCCCTCTGACATCATTCGGGTCACCGTGGGAGATGCCGCCGCGGTGGCGTCTGGCACGAGAGACCAGTCTCTGAAAACGGAAGATGACCAAAAAGACATGAGCAGACTCCCAGCCAAAAGGAGGTTCCAAGCGGACCGCAGGCTGCCGCTGAAGAAGTTAAAGGTGGATGAGCATGGCACTCTGGTGTCAGAAGATAATCTTGAGGAAGGCTCAAGCCCCACTCTCAATGCAGATTTTCCAGATTCTGACTTGAATAAAGATGAATTTGGTGAGTTGGAGGGAACAAGACCAAACAAAAAATTTAAATGCAAACATTGCCTTAAGATCTTTAGATCAACAGCAGGTCTTCACCGGCACATTAACATGTACCACAACCCAGAAAAGCCCTACGCCTGTGACATCTGTCACAAGCGGTTTCACACAAACTTCAAGGTGTGGACCCACTGTCAGACCCAGCACGGCATAGTGAAGAACCCGTCACCAGCCTCTAGTTCACATGCCGTTCTGGATGAAAAATTCCAAAGAAAGTTGATTGACATAGTGAGAGAGAGAGAGATTAAGAAGGCCCTGATCATTAAGTTGAGGCGCAGCAAGCCTGGTTTTCAGGGGCAGAGTAGTTCCCCAGCTCAAGTCATCAAGAGGAACTTGAGGTCGCGAGCCAAAGGCGCGTACATTTGCACTTACTGTGGAAAGGCCTATCGCTTTCTCTCTCAGTTCAAACAGCACATAAAGATGCACCCAGGAGAGAAGCCCCTTGGAGGACACAAGGTCGCTAAGCCGAAAGCGCTCGCTCTTGACGGTGCGGTAGAGAACAAGGAGGTTTTCCAGTGCCGCCTCTGTAACGCTAAGCTCTCTTCTCTCCTAGAGCAAGGCAGCCACGAGCGACTGTGCCGAAACGCCACCGTGTGCCCCTACTGCAGCCTTAGGTTCTTTTCGCCCGAGCTCAAGCACGAGCACGAGAGCAAGTGTGAGTACAAAAAGCTGACGTGCCTGGAGTGCATGCGCACGTTCAAGTCCTCCTTCAGCATTTGGCGGCACCAAGTGGAAGTCCACAATCAGAACACCATGTCTCTCGCTGAAAACTTCTCTTTACCCATCCTGGACCACAACGGTGAGGTCACCGGCTCTTCCAGGCCCCAGGCCCAGCCCGAGCCTCAGAAAGCAAACCACGTGGTCACTCCAAAAGATGACAACACATTCAGTGACTGTTCAGAGCAGGTCAACTTCGATTCAGAAGATTCCTCCTGTCTCCCAGAAGACCTTAGCCTTTCAAAGCCACTGAAGATCCAAGTCAAAGAGGAGCCTTTGGAGGAAGCTGAGGAGGCGGTGCCCGAGGCCAGCACAGCTCCCAAAGAGGCAGCTTCGAGCAAGGACTCTGGCCTGTGGTCCTGCGAAAAGTGCGGCAAGACGTTCACAGCGCACAAGCAGCTGGAGCGGCACCAGGAGCTGTTGTGTTCCGTGAAACCGTTCATCTGCCATGTTTGCAACAAAGCTTTTCGCACCAATTTCCGGCTCTGGAGTCACTTCCAGTCCCATATGTCTCAGGCTACAGAGAACTCAGCACACAAAGAATCCGAAGTGGGCCCTGTTCCCACAAACTCTCCGTCGCCACCACCGCTGCCCCCGCCCCCGCCGCTGCCCAAGATCCAGCCCCTAGAGCCTGACAGCCCCACGGGTCTGTCTGAAAACGCGGCTCCCGCCACGGAGAAACTGTTCGTGCCCCAAGAATCAGACACACTTTTCTACCACGCCCCGCCCCTTTCAGCGATTACATTTAAAAGACAGTTTATGTGTAAACTTTGCCATAGGACATTCAAGACTGCGTTCAGTCTTTGGAGCCATGAACAAACCCACAATTAAAAGACCTACCCTTTCAAAATGGGGGTGGTCTCCACCTTGCAGCCTACATGGTGAAATGTGTCATATAAGAAGCAAAATATTTTTTACAAAAGAATAATAAAGGTTGGAAATTGTTATGTTGGAATATAAGTTTGAGGTAAACTGATGTTAATTAGTAATGTCTTTACCCAAAACTTTACTCCTCTACTTAGGAAAGCTGTAAAAAATACAGTGCTTCTGACCTTACAGTCACAGGACATTTTTACTTCATTAATGTTGAAATTTGATTGCTTTTGGTTGTTTGCATGTTTCGTCATTCCACAGTGTCAGTATAATCTTTTACTTGAGGTGGTTTTGTGTTTTATTCCGCTGATTTGCAGTTAGTAAAATACTATTAAAAGATTTCTGTTTTGATTATATCAGACACCTAAGTTTTAGTTAAATCTTAGCCATGCTCTTAAGTCCAAAACTTACCAGGAACAAGTGGAGTAGTTTGCAGCATTAATTTAGGACTTTAGAATACTCGAGCAATAAAAAAAATGATAAACCTCAACTTTAATAAGTTATCCTGACACTTGATAAAAAATATTTGGCATTTTGTGGTCACGTAGAACTTTTTTGTATGAAAATTGTGAGAAATTTAAATCAGCAATAGTAATACTTAGATTTCTCTAAAATAAAAACTTGCTCTTGGGTCATTTAATATAATTATTGATAGAAGATGGGAAATGAAAATAAAAAGATTTTTGGAAGGCCCCTAGAGTGCATTCATGGAAGCTGCAGCAGCGACCGGCATTGTATCCCAAACGCCGCATCGTGCGGTGTGCGCATCACCGGTCCAAGTTCCGCCCGGCGTCGGAAGGACTGAGTGTTGGGTTTCCTCTGGTTTACGCTGCCACACATTGAGAACTGGGTGCATCTGGAAGAAAGGTAACATGGCACTATTTTGAAATTAACAACATTAGCATAACAAATAAGGTCAGGACCTACATTCACAGAGTCAGTGTAGCAGCCCTGAATCCCGAGTCACCATTCACTTCTGGAGACTTGAAGCAGAGGGAGGAATGCCATACTGCAGTCTCACGTGCTTCTCAAAACCAATATTTACAATATACAGTTTCCTACCTCTTTGTCCTGTGAAAAGTTCTGTTAGGATTTGTTGGAGGTTGTGGTAAAACATCCGTAGCCATCCTGCTTTCGGTCCCCACTCAAGTGTTTCATAAATAGGTGTGAAAGCCGGCACGGTCAAGGGTCCAAGGTCAGTTTTTCTTCTTTCGGCCCATAGGGTTTGGGCTTCTTTTCCTACTTTGTATTTGAAATTAAATTGCAATGGAAAGCCTTTCAGTGGGTGTTATCCAAAGTTCAAGGAGCTGGTTCAAAAGGTAAAATTTTTTATTTCACTTGGGTGGGGTAGATATACAAAAGGAGAAAAATTGAAATTACAAATGCCTTTTAAGGTAGTGATACGGATTAAGACTCCCAAGTTTACTTTTTTTTTTTACAAACTACTCTCTCTAAAAAATCTACTGTGACTCAGAAATCGTTGCCTGAGCACTTAACCCCGCGCTCCGGCAGCGCAGGGCTGTCTGTCCTCGTCGGTCTCAGTGCCCACATTCCGCACCAGTGCTGCGAAAGACGTGCTTATTTCTTACTTGAAATCCAAGTGTTTTTATAAAATACTAACTGACTTTATACATTATAGAAATTACATGGGAAATTTCCCCTCGTATTCGTTCATTTGAAAACTTAGAAGTCCCCAAATATGTGTGGTTACTTCCCATTTCTGTTCTTACCTACATGTGATGGAGAAAATAAAGTCAAATTAAGTTACAGTGAATGATTATCACCATCTTTATATTTTCTTGAAGAAATCTGCATTCCAAAGGCAAAACTAAAGCATATGATTTTATGTCAGACATTAGGATGGATTGTTGTCCATTGAGTTCATCCCCTGTATGATTGGGTATTTCTTACCCTGACACCTGGTGGCTACCACTACAGAAGCTTCCCTCAGAGTAATCATTACTTACAGCTGTTCAAGTATCCCTACTAATTCCATGGTAGACAGTCTCTTGGCATTGTAAATTTAGTATCCCAGGACTTGAACCTTTATTCTACTTTTTTGAGGTTTTTTAATAAAGTGAATTAGTAACAAATATTTTTGATCTAACTATAGGCTCTGCAAACCTGTTAGGTTTTACAAATTGCCAGTGGTTTGTCTCGTTAGTTCACATTTTTGTCGAAGCAAGGAAGGTAAGATTTCAAATAAAATTTTGAACCAAAAACATTTATAACGCAGTTCTGGTTTTTCTATTACTTTTTATACTGTACCTTAAAAGCATTAGGCTGAGAGTTTATTTTGGTGGTCAGAAAATAAAATATGCTTCCATTCATGTAACTATTTTAAATGTTAAGAAGTAAAGTAATGAAAGACGAGTTACTTGCTTTATTCAGCAAACAGGTTTTTGAAAACTTGATCTCAGACAAATACTTGGTGTAGGACAACTTGGTCTTTCATTGCAGCTCTTTAGCTGGCAAATATATTCTTGAAAAAGTTTTTTCCAATTGTAATTTTTGAAAATGTAGAAAATTCATTATTCCTTGTAAGTATTCAGGATGCCTGCTTTTTTATGCAGTTGTGGAAAGAATGTAAGATGTTTTAATATATTCTTTGTTAATCTGAGAACTTGTTATTGAATCATTTTCTTCACGTTGGGGAGGGAGGGAGGAACACCATAAAACACATGTCATTATCAAGGTAAGCAATGGAGGTAACAAGTAGTGCACATTTTTTATAGTAGTATCTTCAAGGGTTACAGAATACTTACCTTTAAAACTGGTAGGATTAGTATGCATTTATAGTTTTACCAAAATACACAACTAACACTTCAACAGTGAGGTCGTGTGCGTTTGTGGGAAGATTCTGCGCTGTTACGGGTCGTAATAGCCTTCTCTTTAAAAATTGGCCCCCGCACTTGACTGGTGATGCTGTGATCCACACGCAGCACCCACTGGTGCTGAGAACGGAAGCGGGAATACAGCCTGCCCTCCCTCTCACGGAGGCAAGGGGCGTTTTCATCTACAGGCCGACAGGACGGGGTGCGCGAGAGACAGGAAACTCATCCGACGTCGGCCTTTGTTCCCTCAAATGTGTGTGTGTACATGTGTGCCACTGTAATCTGGAACGCTAGGAAATACAATTATTTGAATTTTCTTACTACAAAATAACTAGATGTCATTCATAACAAGTTTCTCTATAAATTGCACTAATACCAGAATATTACAAGTCAGTTTCATCGGTTTCTGATATCCCAAATGTTTTTGCAATAATTGTGAAAAACATTGTTTTAAATAATAGACATTCTTTAATAAGCTCTTTAACACTGGTCTTTTTTAAGTTTTAAAGATAGGTTTTTCTCTTGTGGCTTTAGCACTTTAAGAAATTTGAGGTTTGCCTACTTTTTAGTACGTTCAGTGTTTCTCAGTGTCCCTGGCTGTGGCACTGCCACTCGACCAGGAGGAAGCTGAACAGTGAGTTAATGTCAGGCTTTTGAAAAATGCCTTTTAGAGACAGTCATTTGGGAACCAAAGTATTTTACTGTAAATCTGTAAAATAATTGAATTCAGTGCTTTTGGTCATTTCTTAGTGCTGTCCAGATTTTCCACAGTCACACTTGGTTGATACTGATTTCCAAAAAGGGATAATTTCTTAATTGAGATTAATTCAAGACTGTTTCAAAACTTTCGTTAAATAAATGTTTTATTGATAAAAGGGAAAAACGTGGTTTTATAATTGTGTATATTTTGTTGTTATACCTTTAGCAGAATAAATCATTTGGTTTTATTTAGAAATAAGCTTTTTTGGACTGAAAACTCATAGTCAAATAGGATTTCTTGTGGAATGTTAATCCATTGCTTATTTGTATCCAATTCTGTTGTCTGTTTCCTTTGCTTAAATCTTGACTAAAAATGATGGGAGTCAATAAATTTGTACTGTATTTTGTTTTGAGTCTCCGTCTGATTGGAATGTTTTACACTTTGATAATAATGATTAATAGCATGGACATTTAGGAACGTGAAGATGAAACCCTTCTGTTTGGCTAACAGGAATAGCCACGCACAAGCCGTAAGAAATTTAATTTTCCCCGACATTTCCAGGGTGCCCATAGAATTGTTTGCACCACAGCCTCACTGATTGGGGCACCACAAATAAAACCACATAAGCAGCAATCTGCCTACCCACTTTTTCCTTTACTGTTCCAATTAGTCTTTTTTAAAACGATGGTGGGGGTAAATGCATAAAAAAGTTTTTAAGCACCCTACATCAACATTTCAGCGTAGCCAATCGGTAACTGGTTTTCTTTCATAATTTCAAGGCCTCGTGTGACAGCGTCTCTCTTCCTTCTAAGTAGCTCTTCGTGACCCCAGCACACGCTGACTCGGTTACAGTGCGTCGGCTTGCCCTGTGAGGGGAGGCGGGAGCTGCAGAATGCAGCTCACCACCAGCAAGCTGGCTGGGAACTAGGGGAGGAAAGATGGGCTGGGACGGTCATTCCGATTTCCTACCCCTGGGTTTGCACTCGCCTCTTCAGACGGCTGCCCGACACCCTAAACTAGTCTTTCTGGGGATCCCCTGGCTAAAAGTTTCTTGAAAACACTGCACCAGGAATACGTGGCAAAATCTTTATTTGAATCTCCTTTAGCCCTTCTATTCAATTTGCCACCAACTGATTTTGTCCTGAAAGTTTACATCTGCCCTTTCTTCTGAGTGACAAGCTTTCCGAGGTTTGGGGTTATGTTCCTGTCGCGTCCACCCTGGTCTCAGACAAATGCACAGGACGGTGTGTTCGGGGTGTGTTTACGCAGCCAGAGAGCCTGCCTTGGCCCCGCAGACATCAGCTCTTGGAGCTCAGTGGCAGGTATTCTTCATATAAAGCTTCTGTCTGGAGGGAAATGTTCCCCCTGTCGTCATAGAAGTACTCACAAAATAAAGGACAGCCGCAGCCCTGCTGTGCATGCCTTGGGGTGTCACGCTCGGCCATGGGCCCCCTCCTCAGCAGTGGGCTCCTCTGGTTGGTTAGTCAACCTCACGATCATGCAAACCTGCGTTTTGCCCAGCTGAGCGTCAACATGGTGGCATCTATCTCTCTTCTCGGAAACACTTCCCAGCGCCTATTCACCCGCTCCTCACCCCAGCCCAGAGTAATGACCCCGACCACGTGTTCCCAGAAATCCCTGGCACGGCCTGGTCGCTGCTTTACTCACGTGTAGCCTAAATGAGAACGGGATGGGCCCACGGGCAGGGGCTGGTCCTCGGCCTTGTGTTTCTGAGGCCAGGCCGAGGGAAGGGGCCTCGTAAGTAGTTTTCCCAGATTTTGATTCAGCTGCTCAGTAAGAGACCCGGAGTGGTTGGATTCATATATGGTTCTCCGTGAGTTCTGGGAGGAATGGAAGTGTTCAGGTGGCCGGTCTCAGCTGGGCGAGTCCCTTGGCCGGCAAGGGCCACGCACTCGTTTTGGGTGTGTGCGTGCTGTGTTGCTGGCACTACTTAAGTGCCCATTACACCACCCCAGTGTGGTGGGTTTTCTCAACAAACTCATCGGTCAACCTAAGAATAGCAGTAGCTAAGTGCCAGTCATTACTAGGATCACAGTGACGGCGAACACGAGTGCTCACCGTGACGGGAAGCATCGGGCACGCGTGTATGTGGTATCCGTAAAGGAGCAACAGGCTGGTTTTCCTTATTTTTCACCTTTCTTCTCCCCACACCTTCCCGGTTCACGGCTCCGGGATCCCTTCTCCCCTCAGGCTGGACCACCCTTGGTCTTCCCGTGACTTTTCTGGCCTCCATCATTTTGGAGATTATGGACAGCTCACCTTATAGAGTGTCCCTCAATTTCAGTCCGTCCGTTTCCTCGTGATTAGACCCAAGTCGTGCGTTTTTGTCCCAGGGCGTCACAGAGGCCGTGTGCTTTTCCTCCCCCGACGGGTGGCACGCGGCCCCTGGCTGTCCCCTTGTGGATGGTGCTAATTGTAAGCCGTTGGACTAAAACCGTTTCTGCCAGCTTTCTCCACCATGCTTTTCACCCTTCACAGTTAATAAATATTTAGTGGGGAGATATTTTGAGACTATATTCCTTATCTCAGTTTTATCCATGAATTTTAGCCTCTGGTGATGTTTCGTGGCTGAATTGTTTTTATCATCGTTGCCTAGTGGAGATTTCTCTCATACCTCTGTTCTGTCTTCACTTATCTGTGGGCTTTCTACTGCAAGAGAAAAGTATCCCGTTATTCTCGTTGGTTGATTCATTTGTTTGAGCCTTGTGGGTCCTGGAGCCCTAGTCTGTTCTATGGCTTGTAATCAATCAGTTGCCATTGTTTTTAAGTTTTGATTCTCAGACTCTCCCGGATTTAGCCAGTGAGAGCGTTTAAGTGGCCTCTCCGACGTTTGACAGGTCCCCTTTATTTTTTTGAGTATTTTCTTACTTTCTCACGCAATAAGATGCTCTGGGCTTCTCCTGATTGTTCCCTGCCAGAGCCCTGAAATAAACCCTTTCTCCAAGGAATCCGATTCCTTTCAGTGGAGACTGTTGTTGGAAAACTAACATATGGGCATGAAATGTTCTCCCAGGCCCTACAGGAACAGACTTAGAGGGACAGCAGACACACACACACACACACACACACACACACACACACACACACACACCCCCCTGGGTTTATTTGAATTGCCTAGACCCCTCCTACCACGAGTTTGGCTTGGATCTTATTTATATCATATTCTGTGCCTACACTCATCACATTCGGTCTTTCCTCCAGCTTCCTGAACACATGGAATACGGTTATGACAACTTCCATTTCTCAGTTGCCTTCAATTTCTTTCTTTTCCTCCTCGTTCTGGGTGACATTTCCCTGCCTCTTGGCATATCTGATAATCATTTTTTGTTGAATGGCAAACATCGTGAACTTTACCTTGGGGTGCTGGCTACTTCTATGTCCCTATAAATATTCTGGAGGTTTGTTTACGGGGCATAATGAACACACTGGGAACCAGTTCTATCCTTTTAGGTTTTGCCTTTATTATTTATTTATTTATTTATCCTCACCCCAGGTTTTATTCATTGATTTTAGAGACAGAGGAAGGAACAGAGAGAAAAACACTGATGTGAGAGAGAAACGTCAATCGGTTGCCTCTCGTATGCACCCTGACCGGGGACCAAACCCACACACCAGACACATGTCCTGACCGGGAACTGAACCTGCGAACCTTTCTCTGTACAGGACGACACTCCAATCAAATGAGCCACCTGGCCAGGACTAGGTTTTGCTTTCAAACTGTGTTAAGTGGGATCAGAAGCAACAGTTAATCTAGAGCTAGTCTTGCTCCCTTACGGAGGCAACAACAATCTTTCTACCCGTGTCCCGTGAATGATTTCAAGCCCTGCGTGAGCTCCAGGGAGTGTTCATTCTGGACGCTTGCAGGCGGTCCTTCTCCTGGCCCCAGGAAGTGTCCTCACGCGCACACGTGCCGGCCGGTCCTCTGCTGAAGGGTCCAGGGGCCGCTCTCCGAGTGGCATCCCCCTCCTCTCGGGCTGTCCAGCTCAGCTCCTCGGTCGGGGGGCGCCACCAGTCTGCCTCCTTCCATCCTCGCCCGTCGGTACTCTCCGTTCTCTGGTGTCTGATGCTCGGTGACTCAAAAACCATCCTTTCGTGTGTTTTGCCTGGCATGTAGCCGTTTCCTGCAAGAGAGTGACTCCAGCCCTTGTGACTCTGTCTTGGTCAGGAGTGGGACTGAAACTTATTTTATTACCAATGGGTTAGCGAACGTGTCCTGAGCATGGAGCACTGGGTGTTTGTGGATGTTACACACACACACACTCACACACACACACACACACACACGAACTTGCCTGCGGAAAAATTCCCCAAATTCCAAGCATGGCAGGCAGGAGTCCATAGAGGTTTTCTCAGGCCTGACCAAAAAAACCACATACACGGCTCACTAAATCCAAACTAAATGTATCTCCTCCTCTTCTCACCTGGAGTCAGGTCTCAAAAAGGCTGCATTCACCTCAGTGCCAACCGTCTTGAAAGAAATGTTGGCGGAGGGGGCGTTAGCTCGGAAAGAGACAGACCTGTCTCTCGCAGTTGGATTTTCATCAGACTCGCCGCCCTGAGACATCCCCGGCTGGGAAGTGGCCTGGCTGTCTGTACAGGGGAGGGCCCCGGAGCCCAAGCTCCGCTAGCTTCATGGTAAACTCACCTCTGTCTGTGTTGCTCATTTACGGTGGGAAGCCTTGGCCACACCCTGTCCCTAGCCTTTACTTCGCCCTGGTCTTCAGGCCGCCCCCCCCCCACCCCGGGGCGGCCAGGACCTGCTCTGCAGCAGAGGCTCAGCGGCCTCCGACTGGATGGCCGCAGGGGGAGCCATCGTGTTTGAGTCTCAGCGTCCTGGGTGACGGAGGACATGTCGTCAAAATGGCAGGCACACTAAACCTGGTTTTTTTTTGCGTGCGTGATAAAGAAGTCGGGAAATCAGGAAGAGACCTTATCTTGCACTAGACACAGGAGTCTGGTGCGCAAGGAGGCAGAGGTTTGCTTCTAATGGTCTCGGTGATGAAAAGGAGGTTTTCGCAGGCAGTGAAGTTGGGTCTCAGGTTGAGTTCGTAGAGCTTATGAAGACCAGCTCTGTGCACAGAATCGAAGACCGATGACAGAGGATTAGACAGCGTGTAATGTTTGATGCTATTTTTGTCTGATTTCTCAGAAAAGAAAAGAACCTAAGGTGGAAAACTACCCTACTGGCCCTTTCATTAAAAATCAAATAATGTAGCCCAGGCCAGTTTGCTCAGTTGGTTGGAGCATCATCCCGTGCACCAAAAGGTTACAGGTTCGATCCCCAGTCAGAGCACTTACCTAGGTTGCCAGTTCGATCCGCGTTCGGGATGTGTATGGGAGGCAGCCCATCGATATTTCTTTCTCACATGGTCCTCCCTCCCTCCCT